TTCTTAGTTTACCATCCCAGTAAAGGAAAACTGGAGGAACTTTCCATTAAAGAAAGGCCAGGGACTATGTTAAGTCCTGTTTACTGCCTGTCTACTTGTTACTGTCATCCATAATGTCTCTCTGTTGTCATTATGTTTCTTTGTGTCATCATTAGTCTTTCTGCGAAGTAAAACATTCATGCCACTTGTCACTTACGATACCAGGATACTAGTGTTAGACCACCTTTGTGAGTGAATGTGAGCTCTTGGTCTCAGAGCCATTGTTTCATAGATGGGGTTGGCTTATCCTACCAAGTCCATCCTAGAGAATCCCTAACCCTCAGGAGATTCAACATCCTAGAGAGAGCTGTTTAGTGCCTTTCTGCAGTGAAAACAGTCACTGTGGTTACTGTGTAAGGTACCTTCTTTTTTTCTACTTTGAACTAGGCAGTGAACTCTTGAAATGGTCACTTCCCTGAAGTGCCTTTGAGTAGAAATAGTTCTCTTGGATTTGGGTCTTAGCAATTTTTTATGCCTATATGATGTGTGATGAGCCCACATCTGGATAAAGCCTCAAAGGAGCCATGTACTTTTGAGTCCCCATAGGTGTCTGGCCACTGGCCATGTGACAGCCTGCAAAAGGGCCAGTTTTTTCCTTTGCTGATAATTGCTAGCTACGTGGTTGAGGATCTGATAGAGTAGTTAGTACAAAAGAGACTTTAAAAAAATCGTGCCACATGCTTGTGAGTCTCCTGGCTGTGATGCTGTAATTGTCCATGGTGATATAATCAGAACAAAGGAGATCAAATATGACCTTGGTGTGATAATACATACTGTCAGGGGGAGGATGGTTTTAATGTACTTTTTGTTCCAGATTGTCAACTGCAGTAGCTTAGTTATCTTGGGCCATATTTTGTCATATACATATAGCATACTATGAAGGTAGTTTGAATAAGGCTGACAATTAAAGCCCACCTTTTGAAGAGAGCACATAATTTTCCCTTTCAAAACTGCTCTGAATGTGATTTTAAAAAATTACCTACTATAAATATTGCTCTTCAGTTGTTCAAAAATACAATTGTATATGGGAATTAATATTTGTAACATTCATCTGTCAGTATTTCAGGGGTTGGTTGTATAGTCGAGTATGTCTTTTTGTTAAACAAATAATGTTTCTTGTGGACAATTATGAAATTAGAGGAAAGTGCAAAAAAGAACAAGAAACTACTCCCACATGTAGAATAATGCCAGACACGTGACAGGCTCTTACACGTTTGCGCTGTGAATGTTGAGACAGATACTATTAGCATCTTGGTATATATGTTCAGGATTTTTTTGTGGGTGCATTTATTTTTCTTTTCTTTTTAAAAAAGGAGATAGTGCAAATTAGAACATGCAAATTTAATATAATTTGTTCTCTTTAAATTTAAAAATATATATATTTTTTGACATTTCTTCTTTTTTATTATTTGCCATTTCTTTTCATTACTGTTCTTTTACTTTTGCGTGTGTGATGGCTGGAATATTTACCAGGTAAAAGGGCCCCCTACCTCACTGTAGGGATATGTGCTAAATAAAGCTGTGTATAATTTTATTAGGAATGGAAGGTGTAGATCCTTATTAAATATGTGACCCAAACTCCATATCCTTTGTTATAAAAATCTTTGGAGCAAGGTCTTTTATCCCTGCTGCTCACCTCTGAGTTCAGGCCTTCTTACTCACTCTGGTCAGGTTGCATTTGTCTCCCTCTCATGACTGTCTGACTCCCACCAAAATCACCCTTTTCTCCTGTGTGACCCATTTGCTCTAGCCAAGTGTTTTCCTCCAAATCCTGCATTTTCTATCAACCTACTTATAAGATACAAGATCTTGGGAGGCAGTATTCTGGAGGTGTCATGCTGTGGAGAAGCTTATCCAAGTTATAAGAAAATGGTTTGTTTTTCTGATAAAGACCTGTGATAAACTTTTAAAACTTTAGGTTAGTGGTTATCATAAAGTTGTACTAAATCCTTCCCTCTGTACCCTCTGCCTCCCCACCCCACCCCCAAAAAAACAAAGAAGGCAAAAAAGAAATCAGTTGTCACTTGCTTCCTGTCATCTCTGCAACAATTAAAACTATCCAGAAAATTCTTATAGGTTAGTTAGGTCTTCCTTGATTTTTTTTTTTGGAGAATGGCTAACATGGCAAACTGGATTTCATCAGGTCTGTGAATTTTGATTCTATTTTCTCCTCCTTTCATCAAACTCTGCCTTCAACATTACCTACTTTGTAATTAAAATAGGTGATCCACACTAATAATTTCACATGGCTAACCTGGGCCATTTTGATAAGTCACAGCTCTGACCTTGACTTAACCAAGTGAACTACACATCTTGTATTTTCATTGTTTATTTCTCTTAACAACTACTTTGACAATGGAGCTTTCTTTGGCGTTCTTCCCATCTGCATATGAGGAAGCCACATAGTTAATATTCTTTAAAAAGGCATGGCCTCTGGTTTCAAGGACTTATTACCTCCTTAGCTCTTGAATAATAAAAATGTGATAGAGACTGAATGGATCATGAACATACAGGTAGCATGGCACAGTGGAGAGCCTCTGGAGCCAGTAAGGTTGGAATTTATATCCCACTTCCTCAACTCAGTGACAGTATCTTACTCTTCCTGGAGCCTCAGCTTCTCCTTCTGTGAAGTGAGCAGGGAAGGTTACAGGGAAGATGGGCTGAGTTTCCTTCCCACTGCTTTCCTTTGCAAGGTTTAGTAAAGGACCCTGATGACTTAGGGAAGGCAGCCCAGGGCTTCCTGAAGGGGAAAAGACTTGAACTAGACCTTGACAGCAGTCTAGGTGGAGTGGAAAAGAAAGAGGGCCCCTGTGGGACAGAGGCATGGAAACAAGTCCATAGAGAGCCTTGAAAGCATATACAGGGACTCAGTGAAAAGTGATACATTAAAAATGTGTATTAGAGGGGAGAGAGTCTGGAGTCTGAAAGAGGAAAAAAAGAGATCTAGGCATGAGAGAATAAGAGTGTGAGTGAGGAGAGGTGCTCAGGCAGTAGTAGAGAAAGGGCAGGTACAAGGAACATGTCTAAGGAAAAAACCAGCAGGATTTAGTGAGTGAGACTATAGAATGAAAGACATTGCAAGGGTTTACACTGGGTGATTGCTGTATATTTGTTCTTAAAATCTAAAATCCAAACCTGCTGCTGCAGTGTTCTGTTCTAGGTATTAGGGATTAACCATGGAATAAAACATAAATTTCTACTTAACTTTTGAAACTTATTTACTAGTGTTCATTACATTAAAAATTTAATTGTAACAGTCTTGAGGTCTTGAGATATTATCACCTAGCTCATGATTCTTTTCTCTGAAGATCTAAAAGCGAAATGGGAAATACTGATGAAAGAATGTCCAGTATCTTCACAAACTCAACATACACTATTTCCATGTTTCAGAACTGTAAAGATAGGAATAAAACAGTTTATTGCAAATGCTGTGTCTCACAGGAAGTTATACTACTCTAGATTTAGTAATTTGCCTCATAGTTAATTTCAGGGAAGAAGAAGTGTTCCATGAAGTTTGGAACACTTGGGGAATTGTTGAGTTGTGAAAGGTTTCTTTTGTAGACTTTGGTTGGATTAAAATTAGTTCATTTAACAACTGTAAGTAAGAAATTAGGTAAGAGTAAGACTTTAATATTTGATAGCTTGCTTTCAAGTGATTTTTGTCAACTTATTTCTGGAGCAGTGATAATGATATTTCAATGTTCAATCGAGTTTTCTTCAGTTTTTTAAGGTGAAAAAATTTGTTGGTAGTAGATAATTCCTTTATGAAAAATGTTGACATAAGAATTAAAAACGTTTAAAATTAAAATACAGTTTTCCTTGTCATTTTGAAAAGTTGAATTAGAAGAATGTTATCCAATTAGTTATGATGCATTTAAGTATTCGTTTAGTTTGGAAAACTTTTTTCCCTTTCATTTAATGGACCTATTGTATTTCATAGTGTTTTTGTGGTAACTACAATTAATCAGCTATAACAATAGAGTATAAAGATTATTTATGATTTTTAAGGAAAGAATTATAGGCGTTTGGACATAGTAGGATTGATAACTTTTCATGCACTAAGGTGTAATAACCAAGCCCCCTACCCTTGAAAAGGAAGCCTCTCCTAAGCTTTTAGTTTCAGCCCTCTCAAGGGTAGAGAAACAGCCTGAAATTGAGGAAGTACACAGGGAAGGGTTGAGGAAGGGAGGGGTCAATTCCAAATAAAGCCCCGGGTGAAGGGGTCCCAAGTTGTTCTCGGAAATTTACCCAACACCTGTTTTGTACCCCTGAACTATGAGCTAATGTACCCTTAGTAAACATGTACCTCCACCCTAAATTGTGTAAACCTCTATGACATACCCCATCTTGTGATTATGAAGTAATGTACTTGTGATATATCTTGTGATGTATGAATTAATATGTACCCCTACCCTGTGACCCTGTTCTAACTGCTATAATTGGCTTCTGTATTGCATTAGCTTGCTAGTCACCATGACTATGCAGAATAATGCTATAAAAAGGCTTCTCCCCTGCTATTCGGGGCTTCTTATTGGCCCACCTCAAGAGCCCCCTGCAGGTGCACCTGTAGGTGTATCAAATTATCAATAAATTTCTGTTACTTAATTATATCTGAAGTGGGGTCCATCCTTCTTAGCATCTACCATCCCATTTCAAAAGGAATGTTAAAATTATTCTTTTTTTTTTGAGGCAGAGCCTCAAGCTGTCCCCCTGGGTAGAGTGCTGTGACATTACAACTCACAGCAACCTCCAACTCCTGGGCTCAAGCGAGTGTCCTGCCTCTGCCTTCCAAGTAGCTGGGACCACAGGCGCCTGCCACAACGCCCAGTTATTTTTTGGTTGCAGCTGTTGTTCTCTGTGCTACTTTAAATAAATTACCTTTCAGGATCTGAATTTGTCCTTTTAAAAATTGAGTTTTTTTCATAAGGATGATTTGTTATTTTTTTTTCAATTTCCTTCAGGTAAAAGTACAGTTTTAAAGTGTCTCCTGGATATTCACAAAATTTTTCAAGAGAATGACCCAGCATATATTCTAAATGATCTCTACATCTCAGACTACTGTGTGTGGATTCAGAAAGCCAAGTAAGTTTTGAGTCACTTACAAATGTTTAGATGCTTACATTTCTGAAACACCTATTTACCCAGAAAGAAAAAAGTGAAATAACCAGGGAAATAAATTTTAATGAGAGAAAAATCATTTACCTACCAAACTCTTAAAAAGTAACTGGACTAATCCAATTATAGCCCAAGAAGAAAGGGAAAGGGGAGGGGGAGGATGGGTGGAGGGAGGTTAAGTGATGGCGCATCATACAAGGGTACGTGTGAAATTTATTAGGTGTAGAATATAAATGTCCAAACACAATAACTAAGAAAATGCCGTGAAAGCTATGTTAACCAGTTTGATGAAAATATTTCAAATTGTATATAAAAACAGGACATTGTACCCCATGATTGCATTAATGTACACAGCTATGATTTAATAAAAAAAAAAAAAAAAAAAGGTAACTGGATTAACATAGGGAGCCTGGTGAATTTACTTAGGGAAGGGGGTACAGATGATGAAAAGTTACTTTTATTTGAAAATATGGGTATTGGTACTGACTGGAAAATAGGTATTAAAACAGACAGTTGTCTTTATTGCCTTACTATTGACTGTCCAATATGAAATCTCAAGTCTGAGATTTGAACTTGTGTCTCTTGTTTACTTACAGTTGAATATGAGTGTGTACATATGTGTGTTCTTGTTTAGGTGTGTAAATCTAATCCAAATGAGAGCTGCACATTTATGGGCTAATCACTGGCTTCTAGACTTCATATTACAAAAAATACAGTCTTCAGAGCCTGATAGAGTCTTTATAACACATGTATTCAAGAGTCTGAACCCTTACAAATGGGCTTCAGCACTTGCTTGGTATGTAAAATTTTCAGAAAGCATTTGCCATTGCCTCAATCAAGAAAGCATAGGAGATTAACCATTAAATTTTAAAATGTACTGAATTTGTATTTTATGAAGGCGTTCTTTAGATCTGATTATTATCAAACATGACCAAATTATCCATTTCTGTAGTAAGAGGCTATTAATTAAGAGCATATAAGAGAGCTGTTAATTGGAATCATTCCTAGGTACTGTAGAAAATGATTGCACGATATTAATCGTGACGTGGAAGAGAAATAATCATGATATTTTTACTGTTACCATGATTGGTAAGTAAAGGGTTTAGCATGGATTTTAATGCCTCTTATGAAGGAGCCATCGTATAGAATTTATTTTTTTATTTCTGTTCACAATGAAGCAATTATATTACAGAGTGAAATATGAAAACAACTAGAGGCTATACCTGTTGTATGGAAAATGCTTAGGGGTTGCTCAAGATAACACCTAATAACATACAGCAGGTGGTGTCAGCATTCGTGTTGGAAATGTAGATTTGGCCAGATGGAAAATTGAATCTTTAACCCCTGAGGTCGTAATGGCATGTCATCATTTCATTTGATTCCCCATGCTAATTGAGCTTATCAAATACCCTGCTGCCATTTCCTGTTGTTACTTTCATTTTCATAACAAAATTAAATTGAAATAGTTTGAATGGATTTTGTTTTTTTCTTTCTTTTTGTTTTAAATGGCGAGGATTTTATAAACATGTAATGAGTATTGTGTTTGTGCCAGGATCCCATTTCCATGAATGCCTGTTTCTCTGTTTGTGACATTCCTTATTAACTAGAGAGGATTGTATTTCACTAAAGTAGAAGGATATAGGGCCTCAAGTTGATGTGGTGATTATCAGACTTAGTCTTAAATTATTTTTTTCTCTTGGTTTTAAGTTGTGGGAAATGAAGCAAAATTCTTAGGTTCTTAGTAATTGTTGTGGAAATAGTAATTTTTTAAGAGGAGTAATATATCAGGGAGTAAGGTGGGAAAGAGAAACCAGCAGGGACTCTTCAAATTACTTTGTAAAGTTGTTTTTTCAGCTTCACCAATTGGAACATAACTTTGCTTTTCCTGAACAGACTGTGTTGTTTTTACTTTGTGTGTTAAAATTTAACTGTAACCCAGCCATTTTTCACTCCCTGTAAGATAAAACATTTGTTCCTTTATCTACTATTTATTAAGATTTCTAGTTTCATCCTTAGTAAACATGATTCAGCTTTTTAGTATCATCTTTATTCTTGGCTCTAAATTAATTATACTGCAGTGTGTGTTCATGATTTTCATAACACGTTTTTTCCCCCTCACCTTTCTTCTCCATATACTTAGTGAGTGAAATACAGCACCTTTATTTTATTTTATTTTATCTTTGAGACAGAATCTTACTATATTGCCCTCAGTAGAGTGCTATGGTGTCACAGCTCACAGCAACCTCTAACTCTTGGGCTTAAGTGATTCTTTTCCCTCAGCCTCCCAAGTAGCTAGAACTACAGGCGCCCATCACAACACCAGGCTATTTTTTTGTTGCGCTTGTCATTGTTGTTTAGCTGGCCTGGACTGGGTTGGAACCCACCAGCCTTGGTGCATTTGGCTGGCACCTTAACCACTGTGCTACGGGCACCGGAGCCACAGCTTATTTTTATATTTTAAAATAGTTGAATATTTTCCTTAAGTCTATGTTTGATGTTTTTGGTTATAATAATAAAAACTATGTAAAATTTTATTTGAAATACCAGACAGGTGCTAAATTCTAAATACCACAATGAACATTCCATTTTTATAGTCAGACATTTCCTTTGGCAAAAACTTATTGGAATATAGGTAACAAAGCTATTCTTGTGTCCACTTAATGAAGTTATAGCAATAGCTATCGTAAATTTTGCTTTAGTGGTAGGTTTTTATTTTTGTCTTAGGATAATCTGTGTCTTGTAGAGCATATTTGCATATCTTAAAGACTGAAACTCCTGGATTCTTATTCTGAGTAATAGACTTCACAAATTATTTTCCTTTTTTTTTTTTTTTTTTTGAGACAGAACCTCTAGCTGTCCCCCTGGGTAGAGTGCCATGGCATCACAGCTCATAGCAACCTCCAACTCCTGCCTCAGCCTCCCAAGTAGCTGGGACCACAGGCGCCTGCCACAACACCTGGCTATTTTTTTGGTTGTTGTTTGGCGGGCCTAGGCTGGATTCGAACCCACCACCTTAGGTGTATGTGGCTGGTGCCCTAGCCACTTGAGCCACAGGTGCTGAGCCACAAATTATTTTTCTGAAAAAGAATGCTCCCAGTATTTTTCATTCTACACTCTATAAGAAGTTTTGAGTGTGGTACCTACTACAACAAACATTCTCTTGTGTGCCCTTCTTGTATTGTTATAATCTAGGTGCATATCTCTTTCCCCCGCTAAAATTGTAAGGTCCACATGAATGAGCACCTACATATCTGGGCCCATAGTATCTCCTTGTGAGCACAGTAAGTTTTAGCTGAATTGAAAGATACATATTAGAACAGGTTAAGAGAACATTTTTCATTGTTTAAAAAAAAAAAAAGTAGCACTTGGCAGTGCTGGCAGCTCAGTGAGTAGGATGCCGGCCACATACACCCAGGCTGGTGGGTTCGAACACAGTCCGTCCAGCTAAACAACAATGACAGCTGCAATAAAAAATAGCCAGGTGTTGTGGTGGGTGCCTGTAGTCGCAGCTACTCGGAAGGCTAAGGCAAGAGAATCGCTTAAGCCCAAGAGTTTGAGGTTAATGTGAGCTGTGATGCCACGTCATTCTACTAAGGGTGACATAGTGAGACTCTGTCTCCATTAAAAAATAAAAAAAGGCACTTTAAAAAATGTGAATTGTGGGCCAGACGTGGTGGCTCACACCTGTTGCCCCAGAGCTGTGTGAGGCACAGGCTGGTAGATTGCCTGAGCTTAGAGGTTCGAGACCAGCATAAGACCAGCATGAGCCAGAGTGAGCCAGGCTGAGACCTCGTCTCTACTAAAAAAAAAAAAAAAAAAAAGCTGGGTGTTGTGGTGGGCACCTTTAATCCCAGATACTTGGGAGGCAAAAAAAGAAAAAAAAAAAACCCTTAAACTAAGATGAGTGAAAGCTGGCTGAAATTGAAAGCAAAATTTAAAAAAAAAAAAAAAAAAAAAAGCTGGGTGTTGTGGTGGGCACCTTTAATCCCAGATACTTGGGAGGCAAAAAAAGAAAAAAAAAAACCCTTAAAACTAAGATGAGTGAAAGCTGGCTGAAATTGAAAGCAAAATTTAAAAAAAACAAACAAAAAAAAAGGTGAATTGTGGCTCAGTGCCTGTTGCACAGTGCTTATAGCCCCAGCCACATACACCGAGGGTGGTGGGTTCAAACCTGGCCTGGGCCAGCTAAACAACATTGACATCTGCAACAAAAAATAGCTGGGTGTTGTGGTGGGCACCTGTAGTCCCAGCTACTTGGGAGTCTGAGGCAATAGAATCGCTTAAGCCCAAGAGTTGGAGGTTGCTGGGAAGCCACGGTGCTCTACTAAGGGCGACATAGTGAGATCTTGTCTCAAAAAAATATGAATTGAGGCTGGGCATGGTGGCTCACACCTGTAATCCTACCGTTCTGGAAGGCTAAGCTGAGAAGATTGCTTGAGCTCAGGAGTTTGAGACCAGCCTGCGCAAAAACGAGACATCATCTCCACTAAAAATAGAAAAATTAGCCAGGCATGTTGGTGGGAGACTGTGTCCTAATATTCTCTAAACTACTCAGAAGGTGAGGCAGGAGGATCACTTGAACCCAGGAGTTTGAGGGTGCTGTGAGGTAGGCTGATGCCATGGTACTCTAGCCTGGGCAAGAAAATGAGACTGTCTCTGAAAAAAATAAAAAGATAGAATTGATTTTAACTTACTTTTGATATTTTCAGCTATATTCAATGTAAGATTTACCCCTGGTTCTTTGCTGGTGAGCTGCCCTCATCAGTAGCAGGATTGTTCTGACCTTCTCAAAGGGTAGCAGTTTACACCTTTCTATATAAGCCAGGATAGAAAAGAACGAACTGTGATATGTTCTAGCTCTACTTCTCATTGGTCATAGGACCCTAGCAAGTCTCTTCATCTCATTCAACCGGTATTAGTATTTTCATATTTCCTCTAGTAGTTTTCTGATTCATTTTTAAACCAGT